TGTGGGGCAGGGTTCCACAGTTGGGGAAACATTTGCATGTTGTTGCATAGGAACCTTTTGCTAAGCCCTCTCACAGGCAGCTCGTGGATAATCAGATTTTCTGTTCCATATTGAGACTCGGGGGTGGTTTTTTTTTTCAAGAATAGGTTTTTTTTTTTTACTTATTTATTTATTTATAAAAATTTCCACTTTCTCCCCTCCTCCCAATACCCTCCCATTCCCCCCACTCCCTCTCCTCCTCCCTCTCCAGCCCTAAGAGCAGTCAGGGTTTCCTGCCCTGTGGGAAGTTCAAGGTCCTCAGCCCTCCCTCCAGGTCTAGGAATGTGAGCATCCAAACAGACTAGGATTCGGGGGTGTTTTTTGACATGCCCATAGTCTTTGGAGAATAGAGATGTGCTAGGACAACTTCCGGGTTCTCTTGCTTCCATCCTGTGCATTCCCTAGGTTGGCTCTCTTCCTCCCCATCTGCATTTCGGAGGACAGCCATGGAGCCAGAAGGAGCTGAGGGCTCAAGACTGGTCCCAGCTGTAGGTTGGGCCTTAACATGTAGATGGTGATGAGGAAAACTCAGGGCATGAATCTCATCTTCACTCTTTCTCTTTCAGCCCCAGAAAAGGAAATTATATTGAGCTACTAGATTCTTACAGGGTATACCGAGTGGCTTGGCACGAGAGGCTGCCAACCATCCATCAGCCTATCCATCCTTCCGTCTGTCAATCTGTGCTTGTTTCCTTTCATTTGGTAATCAGAATATTGATTAAGCATAAAAAGACCGCTCTGTGAAGAATACAGGCTTTGTTTGTCCTTTAACTCAGAGACCTAGGCAGGGGCCAGCAGCTCAGAAACAGAGGCTGGGTAAGGGCAAGGACTTAAGGGTGACGTTTTCCTGGGGAGCTCCAAATAAACTGGAGTATATCTAGGAAGAGGAGATTCAGATCTCTTCCTTTGGACTACCAAAGAGATATTGTTCCATAGCAATTTCACAGACTCCAAGAGGGTTAACTCCTCAAACCATGTGAGACTCATAAAGAAAGTCAAAGACTTAGGTTGCTATCCAGCTGGGCCCATACCTTGTGCACCCCAACTCCTAGGGTGAAGTCTCAATGCCTCCTATCACAATTTAAAAATATTAAAGTGTTTATTGTATGTCAGGCTCCAGACCAAGTGTAATCCTTACATGTTCTTATTTGTCTCTCAAAACAAACTACTAAAGCAAATGGGTTTTGGGTTTTTTTTTTGTTTTTTCTTTTTTTTCTTTTTTTTTTTTTTTTTGTATGTGAGAAAACTATTTTGCATGTGAGAAAACAGAGGATTAAGTCATGAAGCAACTTTAGTAAGGCTGGGAAGGACGTACTCTGGCAGGGTGAGACCCAGCTGGGAAGTGTGAGCTGCTCCGTCATGAGGACCAGAGTTCTGATCCCTGTAGCCACATTGGCTGGCTCACAAACACCTACCATTCCATCTCCATAGGATTCAATAGCCTTTGCTGGCCTCATGGGCACATGCACATGCATGTTCATGAATACATGTGCACAGATACATACACACATAAATCAAATCGAACAAATTTTAAGCATAAAGACCCATAGCTATGATTGCTTTTTCCACCCGAAAGAATTAGGAAACTGAGGTTAAGAGAGACCACTTGCCCAAGGCCACACAGCTTAATGTGACAATATCAGAATTCCATCTAGGCTTGCTGGACTCCAGAGCCTGCGCTCCTGACCGCACAGGCTGGGTAGCCAATGTGGAAATTCAAGTTTAGAGAATATACCCCAAGGCCACACAACAAGAGCCTATGAGCGGTCAGGCCTAGGCTAGTATTTATTATTGTCTCTTAAGCTTTCTATAATGGTCCTCATCACACCCCACCTGCAGGACCAGCCAATCAGCATAATCAAAATCAACAGGCCCTTTAGGACCCAAGGGAGAGTCGAGACTAACTACCTTCTGGTGTGTTGGAGAGGGAACGGTGGGTGGGCCCTGTCGCAGCCTGGACTTTGAAAGTCAGAAGTTCTCCAGTACTAGCTGGGCATCCTGAAGTGGGTGCAGGCAGGTGGAGAAGAGCTGCCCAAGTCGGGGGAGATCAAGGTTGTACCTGGGCCCAGTCCATCTTTGCCCCAGTGTCTCTGACTTCCTATGAGTGAATGGGTTTGACAATATCCGCCGCTTGCTCGTAAGTGGGCACAGAGAGCTGGACAGCCCAGATCCCAAAGGGTGTGGGAGGGAAAAGCAGTGTAGCTCCGTGAGAGAGCACTGACCTGGGGGTCTGATCTCCAGGGCCAAACTTCCCCTCCTCTCTGCCCCGGACATAGAATGTTTACTCATCTGAGCCCACTAAACACTCAGTAGATTGGGGGAGAAGACAGAAAACCCAATTTGTAAGAATTTCATATTCCTAAGAAGAAAAGGGTCCTCCCTCTCTCTCTCTCTCTCTCTCTCTCTCTCTCTCTCTCTCTCTCTCCCTCCCTCCCTCCCTCCCTCCCTCCCTCCCTCTCTATCTGCCTCCTTTCCTTTCCTTTCTTCCTCCCCCGCCCCCTTTTTCTGAGACATGGTTTGTCTATGTAGCTATGGCTGTCCTGTAACTTGCTAGGCTCGCTTCAAACTCACAGCAATCCACCTGCCTCTGCCTCCCCAGTCCTGGAATTAAAGGTTTGTGTGTCACCATTACCTGGTCTTCTTCCCCTTCGCGAAGTATTGATTTTTCAGATTTACTGAGGTTTAATTAACAACAAAGAGTTTTCTATGCTAACGCGTACAACCTTTTCCTTCCGGGTGACGGGCTTGAGCACAACACCTCACACATACGCCGACCTGAGCTGCTGTGCACGTCGCCGCGCCTCCAGAAATTATCCGCCGTGTACACCGAAGCCTATTTTCTTCTGGTCAATATTTTCTCACTTCCCCCAATTTCTAGCCCTTTCCAGCTTCCACTATGCCTCTCCGAGTACTTGTTTTAATTCCACACACATGTGACATCCCTCAAGCGTTGTCTTTCTGTCACCGGCTTATTTCATTTAGCACAGTGTCCTCGGAATTCACTCACATTGCCACAACACGGCAGGATTTCCTTTTGCCTAAAGGCTGAAGAATCCGTCTGTTGCATATTGAGACATCATTTTGGTATGAGTTTGTGTGTGGGGTGTGTGTTCATGTGGAGAGCAGTTTTGACATCCTCTTCTATGGTTCTCCATCTTATTTTTGAGACAGGGCCTCTCAGTGAACATGGAGGACAGCGGCTGGCTCGAGGGGAGACTAGCTGGTTAACAAGCCCCAGGGATCCTCCTGTTTCTGCCTTCTCAGCACTGGGGTTGCAGGTGCACGCTGCCTCTCCTGGACTTCTGCGTGAGTGCTGAATCTGAACTCAGTCCTCACACTTCATAGCAAGCCCTTTACCTACTAAGCCATTTCCCCAGCCCTAGCCGCCACTGTTTTGGATACTATTCATCCAAAATGTATTCATCCAGTACAGACATTTAGGGTGTTTCCATGTCTTGGCTTTTGTGACTAATTCTGTAACAGACAGCCAAGCAACAGCATTACCAAGATCCCAATCCTGTTTCCTTTGAAAATACACACAGAAGATTACAGGTCACACCACTACATTGTCTTTGTTTGCAGAGAGAGGCACCTTCACACTGTTTTCCATGATGGCAAGCCCACTCACTTTCTCGGTACTGGTGCACAAGGGTTTCCGTCTCTCTCTATCATCTTGCTAGCCTTCATCTTTCTGGCGAGAGCTATTTTAACAAGTGTCAGGCGTGGGCAGATACAGGGCCTGTGCTTTCAGTTTACCTCTGTTGTGTGCGGTGCTGAAGACAGAAACTAGAGCGCGGCCTATGTCAGGCAAACGCTACCCCTGAGCCACACCCCCTCCAGCCAGGTCTTTATTTGAAAATGTTTATGGGAGCTGGAAGTTTACCTGGGAACTGCCTGGGTTTTCACCTTTTCTACGCGAGGCAAGGAACAAACATTTTCCCATTTCTGACTTTCTTGCCATTTACAGCAAAGTAGGTAAGAATCTAAAATTCAACCTCACAATAACAAACACAGCAGAGTCTGGGTTCTGAGGATTCCGGACAGTTTATTTTTCCCACATTCTCTCTCCACTTTCCCGGAGGTGGCCTGTGGCAATGATCCTCAGGAGAGCCTCATTCTTCCATCTTCTGTGGGAGAAAAGAAATTGTACACAGGAAATGAGTCAATCTCCATGGGAGGCACAGCATCCCCTTCAAGGGGGAACAGATACAAAGTTGGGAATTTCAGAAAGTGGCAGGAAGGAATGACCTTATCTCACTTTGTGTTGACAAAGAAACCAGTTAAACTACTAGGAACAGGACAGGTCTCCTCAAAAGCAGAGGTTCACTGAGCTGCATCTCTACCAATAGGGAGAGAGGAAGATGACATGTTTGTACCCTGTGCTTCTTGCAAGAGCCTGGTACATAGGAGTCTATGCTCAAAGAGCATTTGTGGGTGTATGGCCAGTGGCAAGGATGAGGACACCAAAAGACATCTCCAGGCTCTTTTTGGTCTGTCTGTTGGTCTTCGGTATGAATAACCTTTTGGAAAGACACCATCCTCAGTGTCTGCTCTTACCTGGCCTCCCACATCACGGCTCTTGGCCCTTAGCTTGTTGACTTGCGACTCTGCAATGTCTGCCCTCTCCTCAGCCTCCTCCAGCTCATGCTGGACCCTCCGGCACCTGGACAGCTGTGTATTGGCTTGCTCCTCCTGCATGGGAAGAAGACAGAGGCTACACAGTTGTGAAACCTCTCTGGGGCTCTGGGGCTCTGTGGAGGTGAGGGAACCAGGAAAATGTGAGCCTTGTATTCACAGCCAGCAGCGAGGGGAGATGAGTTGAGCTCTCCAGAGAATGGTGTCCTGCTTCTGATGTGGTGTGCTAACTGGGGGCTCCTTGTGAGCTGAGCTTATGATGTGCTGTGCTAACTAGGGGCTCTGCTAACTCAGGGCTCCTTACAAGCTCTTTCTCTTCTCCACAGGGCCATCACGTACCCTGAACTCCCTCTCTACAACAGCTCTCCCAAACAAGTCTTATAAAACCCAGAGATGACCCAGGTCCAGTGTTTTCTCATGACATCTGAAGGTATCAGATCAATGGTTCAAATCCCCTTTTTTTTGATGCTTTTGATAATTGCCATGTAGCTAGGACAGACTATTACATGGTTTTGTACAGACTTGTGGAGACCACACTAATTTGATGTGCACAATCCCCCAACTCTTAACTGGTTCCAGTATACTTCTTCAAGACTTCTTCCCTCCTGAACAGGGAAGAAAGAGGGCAAAGTGAGAGGCCATATACAAATCATTTCTTCCTTTGGACACTGGCCTTGGGAGATGCTCTGCAGGTATCCCAAGCCAAGCAAGTGCAGTGAAGGGTTCTAGAGGACCCTTTACTTCTGAGAGTGAATCACATATTAGCTATAAAATCTGCGAAATACTTGAAGGCAACATGTTTAACCTTATTAGACTGAAAATTTTCTTCTCATTTCATTTTTAAAGACAGGGTATCTCTATGTAGTTCAGGCTAGTCTCAGACTTAAAATCTTCCTGCTCCATTTCTGGAGTGCTGGAGATCACAGTCAGTGTCAACACCCTGCATAACTTATTTTCTACAAGGCAAAGGCTACCGCCCATCTTGGCCCCAGCATTTTGCTGTTTGTAGCCCTCGGACCCAAAGCCACTGGAAGCCATCCTTCAAAGCACTGGTTTTGGCTTATCTACTGCCTTTCCTGTTGATCTGACCTATTTGATCGGGAGGCAGTGAAACAGGGATGGAAAGGCGTATGGGCATGTTGCTATAGAAGACTGGAGGTGGAGGACCAGGAGAGTAAAGTGTGATGGGATGACAAACATTAGGACGAGGTGTTTCAGGGCAGAAGGGTGGGAGGCGGTGCTGGTAGTGGTCTGGGCTGGCTAGGGAGAGCTGGGATGACGGAAGGTCAGCAGAGTGCCCTAAGATGCTCTGGGGCAGATAGAATGAGCCAGGCAGAGATGCAGGTTGGGGATGGAGGTGGCTGGGAGAAGTTGGGGTGCTATGAGGGTACAGGAAGTTAGGAGGTGGAGAAAATCCAAGGAACACAGACGAAATGAGCATTAAGGGAGATGTTTCTGTGTGTGACCTGTAGACACGAAGTCAAGCCTGGGTCTTTCTGAATGATCCTAATCAGGCATTGGTCCCCACTCAGGCTTCATGAGGACACCCCGGTGGGTGACGAGATGCACAGGAACCTCCAGTACTCACAGCCTCCTCTGCCTGCCTCTTGTAGGACTTCACTTTGGCCTGCAGCTTGTCCACCAAGTCCTGAAGCCGGAGGATGTTCTTGCGGTCCTCCTCAGCCTGCAGAAAAGAGCATCCGTAACAGAGACCTCCAGTCCCCGACTCCCTTTGTTGGGCTCTGCTCCATATAGCAGCAATCGAGGGCTTGCAACTCGCTACCTGGTAAGTCATCTCTTTGACTTTGCGTTCATATTTGTGGGCCCCCTTCAGAGCCTCAGCCCCTCTCTTCTGCTCAGCATCCAGCTCATTTTCCAACTCCCGCACCTGTGTGGGGCGAAGAGCATCAGAAGCGAGGTCAAGGCTTACCAGCTTTCTCTAGGGGACTCATATGCTAGTCATCCTAAAGTGACCTTAAGACCTTGCTGTGTTTTACAGAGGTGTTTCCTCCCAGGCCCAGTCCCTGTAGTGACTTTGTACAGATTATAGCAATATGCATTCCCGGGGTAGAGTCAACCACTGGTGCATAGCGCTTGGCCCTTGGCTCAGGCTTGGCAAAGAGGTCCCTTCCTCTGGCGCTGTGTACTTTGGCAAGGACACCACAGGTTGGGAGTCTGCCCTGTTTATTCTCATTGATAAAACCTGCTGGACTCTTACTGGATGTCTTGGTTCCAACTAGGCAAGGCATTAATTGTGGGCAGACCAAGCTATGTCCAAACCCAAGGCCGTTTGGTAGATCTAAAGCAAGCGAGTTACTACCACTGGGCATGGCTGCCAATGGTGCTGCCCAACCTACCTCAAAGGTGGGTGGGATGAGATAAAGTATGGGAAAGCGAGTGAAGAATCACCTCAATGCCATACTTTCCTTTTGCCTTTTCTGAAGTCTTGAGGGAAGAAGGGAGCCCCTGAGATGGCAGATCGCCAACTGTGGTGCCAGTATCCCAATGCCACAGCTCAGAGAGATGCAGCTGGGTGTTTGGGTCCCAACCAACCACATGCCCCTCTCCATAGGGACTCTGATGGCATCAGAAAGGAAGGACAGTTCATGCTAGGAGACTCATTACATCAACTTTGAAAGCTCCCAGGGGAGAGTGGTGGAAATCATTTGGGCTCTATTGCAAGTGGAGTTCCATCATCTTTCATCAGGTCTCACAACAAATCTCCCCACCCCACACTTGCTCTCCAGGCCTCTGGAAGCTTTATTGGATGTGTGAAACTAGACAGCTGGGATCAGAGGACACTTAAAGCGGTTGACTGACTGTACAAGGGGGAGGTGACTGTAGGCTCTGACCGAGCTAAGAAAAACCACAAGGTATCATGGGACTTGATCCTTTCCTTCTGGAAGGGGTCTATGAGAAGGATGGGGCTATTCTCTTTTTCATTGAAACGGAAGGGAATAATTTTTTTAATTGGAAGTAAAAAAATAACAAAAGCCAACCAAAAACCTTTGCATATTTAAAAGGTACCATGTGCCTAGCGACCACATGGTTCTAGGGATGCTCAAATAAAGAACAATTGTACTGGAGACTTCCTGTTGGGAAAATTCTCTTCTCTTCCTTCCTCCTCCTCATTCCTGCCCACTCTTCCATTTTCTCTCTTCCTGGGACAAAAGAGATATTCTAATAGCTTCCTCCAAGCAGCCCTTCTCTGAAATGTCTATTGTGCATGCAGCCCATTTCAAAAATGACTGAAATAATTCAACACAGCTCTGAAGGGAAAAATCAAGAGGCCGAGGAAACAGCACAGATTAGCAAAGGAAACGAACGACTGTGAGGTAGGCTCCGAGTGCAAGTCCAGGACTTGTGGTGCCGGAGAGATTGTGTCTCTGGTGCATGAACTTGGAGGAAGAAGTGTCAATCAAACTCCTTTGGGGATGGGGCAGGATTTACCCTAAAACTACTACTGCATATAGAGATTAGGAAAGCTGGAAAAAGAACAATCTGAGAGTAGGAGACAGAGGGACTAGAGACGTTGTACAGAGGAGCCTATCAAAACGATAGAAACCATGTCCAAGCATGGAATTTCTTGACCATAGAGCACTTTTCCCTATATATGTGTATAATTGTGAATCTACAGGGGTAGCAGGAAGTGATGTCATCTTTGCCAAGTGTGTTGGTGCACACTGTTAAACCCAGCACTTGGGAGACAGAGGCAGACAGATCTGTGTGAGTTAGAAGCCAGCTTGGTCTGCACAGTGAGCTCTACACAGCAAGAACCTGCCAGGGTGTGGCGGCGGCGCTTTCCCACCACCGAAATCTAAATTTCTGGTTCATGGGTTCTGCCCAAGATGGCTGAAACAAGGCTACTTGGAAAGCCAGTGCCTTCTCAAATCACCCACCCTGGCCTCCAGTTTCTGGATCTGCTTCTTGCCGCCCTTCAGCGCCAGCTGCTCGGCCTCGTCTAGACGGTGCTGCAGGTCCTTCACCGTCTGCTCCAGGTTCTTCTTCATCCGCTCCAGGTGGGCGCTGGTGTCCTGCTCCTTCTTCAGCTCCTCCGCCATCATGGCGGCCTGGGTCAGTGCACAGACTATATCTGTAGGCTACCCACCGAGCACTACCCAGAGTACACAGGCAATGCTGTCATCTTGTGCCTCATGCTGAGCCTCCCCTCCCAGTCATCATGTTCCATTTTGCCTCTCCAATGACCTTTCCTGGCATCTCTCCAGGAAGCCACCAGAAGAGATGATACACCCTTGCCATGCCCCCCGGATCTGAAATCCCCCTTTCTCAGCTCCCACTACCAGCTTGACAGAGGACGATGCTCACATCAGTGATGGCCTTCTTGGCTTTCTCTTCTGCATTTCTGGACTCCTGCATGGAGTTCTCTACCTCCGCCTGGCACTGAGCCAAGTCAGCCTCTAGTTTTTTCTTGGTATTTATCAGGCTCGTGTTCTGCAAGAAAAATTAGATTTTGTGGGTGACGGTTTCCTATGGGCACTTAAAACAATGGGAAGGGAGGGCAGTGGGTGGGGAGGGATGTGAATCATAGTCATCTTCCACTTCTTATTTTCCACATGAGTGGTCCGCTGCGTACAATATCATTCCTGACTGAACAGAAAGTTCTGGGGCAGAGCCAACAGCTGTACATCAGAAAATGGAGTAAATGATAAAGGGGGAATTTCAAACATTTGAGCATGGATAGATTTTTTTAGTAAAAGGCATTGGAACAAGAACATGACTGATGGATGCATTTATGTAAAATGAAAAATATTTCTACTAATTAAAATATGCCATGTATGGAACTGAAACTGGAACAGTAATGGCAAACCAGAAAACATTATCTATATATGAAAACACTCCTGTCCATATATAGGTAAGTTATATTAACAAGAAAAAGGGACAAGAAGAATAAATAGTTAAAACACGCAAGAAATATGATGGATACCCAATTGGTGATATGTTCTATCTCATCCTTACTAAAACTAATAATTATTATTATGACAATAATAAACCAATGACATATGCTTCAACAATAAAGTTTGTGAAGATTTAACAGCTAGGGTCTTTTGGAATTGTAGAAGAGTCCTCACATGGCAATAGATGGGAATAAAAATTGGGACAGCCTTGTTAAGTAGAAATTTACATGTGTTGTATACAAATGTCTTTCCTGTTTTGACCCTGAGTTTATTTTCTTCCAGATATATTGACAATAGTAATCACAGATGAATGAAAAAAATTTAGTTATGGCAATATTAATTAGTCTTGGTAATAGTAAAGAATTTTATTGGTAACAACGTAAAATAGCCAACCATAGACGACTGATTGCAGCCATAATAATATTCAACTTTTGTTACTGCATTTTTTTCTTTCTTTTTTTTTTTGCTATTGAAGCCCATAGCATTGAAAACTATTTAAAGAGTTAGGAATACACTTTGGACACATTGTTAAATGGAAGTTAGAAGCTGTAAAATATTGGTCAAATACAAAAGTGTGGTATTTATGTAATTCACAAAGACCTAAGAATGAGAGAACATAACACGTTAACGATTTAATTGATTTTTTTCTTCTATGTGTTTGCTTAGGATTTATACGTTTCAGATCAAATATCTTTAAAAATGTTGTAAAACTATATCCTAAGATTTCAGCTTAAATTATGGACTGAACATTCATTTTCATTTGAAATTCTGAAATCCAGATAAGATTCAAAATCCAAAACATTGAGTAGCGGCAGGATAACATAAGGGCAAAATTCCACATCCAACTTCATGCAATGGGCCACAGTCAGATCAGCTTCCGGGTGTGAGTAGAAAGTTTCCGGTTTAGGCTCGTATTCAACCCCAGTATCTCTCATTATGTATATGCAAATATTCACACATGCAAATCTTCCCAAACCAGAAACACTTCTGGCTCCAAGTAAATTCCCGTCATGTCTATTTTGGATAAGGGTTTTTAAACCTGTATTTCCTCGGTGAATTCTCCCTGCTCCCTTGCTCCAATACCACTGCACACAGCCTGCAAGATCTTTCCTCTTTATTTCTGATCAAGCAGATCTTAGAGCTCAAGAATCAAGGTTTTTCTGACTTGGTCTTGACCGCTCGTCTGGGAGAAATGGAAACTCCCTGCTGAGGCACCCGGGATGCTCTATGCCCCAGGTGGGTGGAGGGGGAAGCACCTGGCAGAGCCACTGCCCTTCTGCCCAGGGTGGACCCAATTGAAGAGAACATACCTGGGAACGCAGCAGCTGGACACGGTCGCTGGAGTCCAGGAGCTCCTGCTCCGACAGCCGGCGCGTCCGCTCTGTCTGCTCCAGGGCCACCTTCATCTCCTCTAGCTCCTCCTGCAGGAGGCCATTCCTGCGCTCCACGATGGCCAGCTGCTCCTTGAGGTCCTCACTGCTTCTCAGGGCGTCGTCCAGGTGCAGCTGGGAATCCTTCAAGGGGAACCGGGAGTGAGAGCAGAGCTTCAGGGTGGGCTCTGGGCTCACAGGTCTGCCAAACCAGCCGGAGCTCACCTTAAGCTGTCCCTGGACCGTGCGCAAGTGTTTTTGAGTTTCCGCCACCTGACGGTTGGCATGGCTCAGCTGAATCTCCATCTCATTGAGATCGCCCTCCATCTTCTTCTTCAACCGCAGGGAGTCATTGCGGCTGCGGATTTCCGCATCTAACACACTCTGCATGGCCTCCACAGCACGCTGGCTGTTTCTTTTTATTTGTTCAATTTCCTCATCCTTTTCCGTGACCTTGCGGTCAAGCTCAGATTTTACCTGGCTTAATTCTAGCTGGACAC